CTGCGCTCCACTTTCTGTGCGAATGGAGAATCAGGCGATCGATCAGACTGGTGGTACAAATCAGTCGTGGAGTTGAGCGATTGCGATTGCCGAGCCGGCCGGTTGGCGGCGGACCGGCCGACCAATGAGAGTGAGCCGATCAACTCGAGCGACGCGAATACGGGATCCAAACCAATATAGGTAGTCTCGACCCAGGTCTCGACCGTGGTATGCGGCACATAATTTTCCGGCCGATTAGAACGGATCGGTCGAATCACGGATTACTTTACTTCATTTATGGTACGAGTTCATGCTCCTGGTCTATAGGGTCCAGTATATAGGACCTTGGGGCGATGACGTCGCTTCAGCCCTGAAGTCAGCCGGTTTATATAGTTTATATAGCCTTGAGTCAGCCGTAGTCCCATACCTTCAACTGATGACGTTGACGATCCCGGATCCGTGCAAAGCTGCATGGTCATACAACTTCTTGCTACTTGGTTACAGGTCAGAAATTATAAAAGCAGTAATAAATAGCCTAAAAAACATAAACGAAGCCCGTCCACAACAAAGATCAGATGCACAATGCGGCTATTACCTACTTTACAACTTTGCAACAACTTTGTACAGCCCTGGACATATGGAAACACAAAAGTTACTTTAAAACTGCGCAGCAGCCTCTTTTGCGGCAAAATCTTGTGTTCGACGATGACGCTTTTGTAGTTTGTTGACAGAATACAGTGGACATTTATTATATTCATACAGTTTTTCGGTCATATTGTTCAAGTAATTTTAGCTGGAAACTATTTAACTATGTGCTTTGTTTCTCTCTTAACCAATTGTTTAACGATGAAATCAGCTAATTTGCATTGAAAGCATTCATTTCTTGTTGTTGTTCCGCTATTTGCTACCGCTACATCCGGCGGGACTGAACATTTTTCTCTAATTGGATTGCTTTGTTGTGGATTCAAAGTTTTCAATTTTCAAGCAAGCTTGAAGTGAGATCAGAGGTGTGCATTTTATTATTTTCTCTGGCTGGTGGGTCGAAAACACGGAGGTCCCCAAGCATTTTCGTTTTAATTATATGAATCCAATTAGTATCACAACATGCTATAATCCAACTATCTAACATTCCCTGCCAGTAAAATGCAACAGCTTTTTTTTCGGAAGTCACTTCCGAAATGGTGATGTTGCAGATTGCAGACAGCCATTTGTTCAGCAGTGGCCTGCTTGTCACCCTTGTCAGATTCATTGGTATTATTACAGAAAGAGTCTGATCAGGAATGTCACTATAGAAGTCATACCACATGATACATTTTGACCTCCTGAGCTCATATCTGATGATGTTCATGGTGCAACCAAGTGCATTACACACTTGCAATATTTACCATCACCAACAGACCCCCAACACTCCTCCCGCCGCCCTCACCCGCGTTGGAAGGATAAATTTCTAGGCTAGGTTGAGTGAAAAATCACATTACATACTAACGCTATCACTATTCAATTTCATTATGAAAGTGACGTCAGTGCCGAATGCAATGCCTTAGGAGAGTTGTCAAATTAATTCCAGTTCCATCCCGTGGTTCCATTCCTGATCCTCCAATTCTGGCCCACCCAAGGCACAACGCACGAGCGCTGCCGGCATCTAGTTTATTTTGGCCACCTGCTGACTGCTGGTATTTCATTTGGCTTATTTTTTCTGTAAAAAATTCCATTATGGCTTGAGAGCTGACAATTGTTTTTGTTCTAGGTGTATTGAATCTAATTGAATCTCATCAGTCATCTGTATTATTCTGTGACATTGTGCTGTGCTGTGAACAAACATTCAAGTTGTGTTGATTACTAATAAGAATATAATGGAACCAACTGGGTCAAGCAACAAGACAACTCCCAAAAGCAAAGGGCAACTGAACTTCCAGAATGCTATGCAAGATTTCAAGAGTATGTTCCCTGGAATGGATGCTGATGTTATTGAGGTTTGTAATGACAATTGATGATGCACTCCCATTCTGATATGCTGCTCCTCCAGGGCCTACTGCGCCTGGATGTCACTTGTATCTTTTAGTGTTTCCATTTTGACGATTCATGCCACTGTGCTTATTTACACCTACCCACCTACTTGACTGCAAGAACATTTCTACCCAATTCATTGACTGAGTAGAAACAATTTTTCAGTCTTCTCTCCATTGAGCTAGCTTGTACCATTTATGGGAGGGCTCCTGCTCCTCCTCTCTCTCTCTCTTATTGCACGCCACGCGTGGGCCCCCTAGGGGACCCGCCGCGGGAGCACGTCGACGGGGGGGGGGGGGATCGGCGCGCCCCACTCGTCGGAGAAACTCCGTGATCGTGAAGAAATTGACCAGTTCCAAAGAGTTTTTGTCATCGCTTCTCCCCTCTCCACCTCGCGCTATTCGCAGGCCGTTCTGCGGTCCAACGACGGTTTGGTGGATGTGACCGTCGATCAGCTGATCAGCATGTCTACGGCCGACGCGACGGATGGCGCCGCACCTAGGTAGGGCACCACTCTCGTCGCGGGTGTTGTGGCGGCAGTTTTGGAAAAGAAGTGCGCTGTATTTTACTTTCAATGTGATTCATAAAAGTGTTTAAACATAATGAGATATCAGATAGTCACATTGTAAAATAAGATTTGAAAGAAGATATTATTCGAATAAATAAGAATTTATAAGATAGCTCAGTCAGTGCTGGCTTTCCAGCGTGGGGAGTCTGGTAATATCTGGAAAAAGGTCTGAATATCGCGATGTGCCGAGTGTCCGGCGCTGTCGCTAGTGCCTCGCATTGTGTCTGGATGGTGTATGACCGTTACTCTGTGTATGGACAGGGCGTCCCCGGGCCCATCAGCCTCGCGCCGGTGGCGGCCGCCGCTGCTGCTGCCGCTGCCAGACGACTTCCTGCGGGTGGAGCCGCCGGCCGCTGTGGTGAGTACCTGAATCTACTGGTACACGCGGCGAGTGGCCGGCTTCCCGCGGCATTCACCGGGTCGCAGCAAAGAAACACGCTCAAAGTTCTCCCACAGCACTCGCAATTTTGCGTTATATTTTACTTCATGTCGTGTTTGAAGAGTACCATGACTAACAAAAAATTGACGTTCATTTTCCATACTGCTTTCTCAACGTTGAGTCTCCGGCCTCAACCTGAGGTTATTTATTTGACTTTCAGTTTTGAATCAGTCATTCAAAATCTTCAGATTTTTTTTTGAGTCTTTTTATGTCGAATGCTACTTGTACAAATGGAAGTTTCTACCTTTATTGACTCTACATCATGCTTTGAACGCATGCATCCTTATCAGAATATGCGAGCAACAGCGATTGTCCGATGGCCTTATTGATATGGACAAATCACATACCCTGTTGTGATGGTGGTGATGCGTCAATCTCACCAATGCAGATCGATTGATGTGTATTGTGCAACGATAATTCTGTGCCAAATGATAGCTTTGATCTGATGCCAACTTGGCACCATTTGGCAAACATCCATAGTAGAAAACTCGGGAACTGTGCACAAGCAAATTGTGCAGGGTTCAACTTCTCCCAGCTGGTTCTTATGAACTCAATACGAACGACTTATTAGACGCCAGTAGTTGGCTGCAGTAATTCGATCAGAGGCTATGAAAATGACTCACTTAAGATGGACGATGTGTTCGTGGTGTTACTGGGCTGCGACATCGTAGACCAGTTTCGGTTGGTACCGTCTCACTGGTGACCCGTTGTACTGCACCACCAGTTCATTATCATCACTTGGTTTCTGAGACCGGGCTTTTACAGCAATTACCGCTTACATCATACCTAACGGGGGCTGGTCGGCCGTCCTCTCCATAATCGGGGTGTGGGTAATAGTGTTTTGGTTTGTGCAGGGAAATTACTCTGCATAAAACCGCCTCATTAACCCTGCTGAGATAACGCTGGGTGCCAAGTATTCGGAGACTGGTGTTGTAAGCCCGGTTTGACCTGCCCCGGCGTTCGTTGTTTGGTTCTAACACAGCTGGTATGCCGTCAGTGATAGTTATCACTTTGTAGCCCAGATGAAGTCAGTGGGGGGGGGGGGGGGGCTATCGACACTGAATTCTTCCCTTTACTTGTAACTTCCAATGGAGACTCGGTCTCTCAGATATCAATTTGTGCAACTCGACGATCGCTCTTCTTCCCTCAACTCAATTTTTATCAGTGCCACGACGACCATAGTGCTCCCGAGATTCGTGTGGCGTTTTCACATTTGGAAAGACGTTGTCCCATTTTATGGGATATATTTTATTAGACAACTTTTATTGCGGATCAAAAACGTAAAGGTAATACGCAACGAAAGTGCGTTGTTTGGTGCTATTAATAACGATTCCACTTTATTACAGAGTTAATCGATTTCACTTTAAAGTCAACGGTTTCCAGTACTCTTGCTTCTGGATTCTAATCGTAACTTAAAATTTGAAATTCACGTATGAAAAAAGGTATTTTTAATCAGTCTAACATGGATGAAGCTCATCGTGGCTTTTGGATATTATTTAGTGAATATTGATCGTCAAATTCAGAAAAAGGATGATGCAGAACTCAGACCGCTAGTTGCAATGAGCACCACAAAGGCCGAAACCACCTTTACTACAATTAAGGCGTGAAGTTCACCATCATACCCGCCACAAAAAGCATTCGCTTAGTCCGCATGTGACCGTCTACTTCCATTCATTAAAATTCTACTCAGGTCAGACGGACGAGTCCGATTTGTCTCCACCGTCTCGCCCTGTCCGAGGATGTATCTGGTGGGCCCCTCGGTCTAGGGTCGACCTTCGAGGCCACGGGTCTGCTCGTCACTCGCCACTCATCCACTCGTCTGTTCTCTGCTGATTGTACTCTGTCAACGACACAGGGGTGCTATGGCCGCTCTTCTCCCCCACCCAGTGTGACCGGAACACTGCACTCCCCGCCGCGCCGCCCGGTGTGCGATATAGCCGCTGGTCACGCGCTGAGCACCCCCGGTGTTGTAATCGCTGGGGACCGAGCGGCCCACGCGGCCGGTGCCACTTCAGTGCGTCGCCCGGCGCGCCCGCGGTGGCCCGGTGTTTGTTTGAGCGCTGTGTGACCTGTATCGCAGCACGGCTCCTTGCCCGATAGAGGCCGGCCACTGGTCAGTGGGGAGATAGTGCTCAGCGATGGGCGCACGGCTCTGTGTGCGGTACGGCCTGTCGTGTCTGGTGCGTTACGACGGTGCGGAGCGACCGGTCGTAGCGGCGGGCGCAGTACGACGGTGCGGTACGATTGATGGTGTGTCGTGTTGAGAAGGGTGGACGTGCAGCCGAGGACGGAGCTGTGAGCTGTGCCCACATTGCCGCCGTGGACCTCACCGGTGCCTCGAAACGGGACACTGCTCGGGGCCAGGCAGTCTTAGAGTGCTGTGGGAGTGACTGTGTGCTCCTGGTTTTCTGATTGAGAGTGACCGCTGCAAGTACCCAACTGAGCGGAACCTGACGATGGGCGGTACATATTACATTGTCCTGTGAAACTGCCAGCTTCGAGAGCTGCTGGACCACCGCGGCTGACCCCAACGCCGCCAGTGCGCGGCGGACGCTCCGTGTCGCTCACTCCTCGGAGTGAGCAGCGACAGCCCGCCACCATGTGTCTCCAACAACAGCCGCTCATTCAGGAGCGTCTGCTACTGCAGCCCCTGGGCGGTGACGAGTCTCCGCCCGCCTCCGCCTCCGCCCCCGCCGACACAGCCTCCGGCCGGCCGGAGAGCGGCTCCTCGTGGCTGTCATGGCTGTGGTCTCTCCTCTGCTGCCTGCCGAGCCCCGTGACGCTGCTGAAGGAGGCTTATGTACGCTGGTACGATGCTCGCGCGCGGCGGCGCTTCCTGCGTCGCCAGCGGCGTTGGCAGGAGGATTGTGCGGCCATGGCGGCCGCTGAGGCCGAGCGGGGACACCTGGTGCCCGGGGACGGACGGATGTCGGAAGGACCGGGCGCAGATGACGGAGATATGGTTAGTAGAAACGAAAGCTGAGGTTTGCAGGGTGATCGGTTAAGATGTTTGGATACCGAGGTAGTCCTCTGATGATCGAGGATTTTTGTACAGGGGAGTCACTCTGGCCAGTGGCTAGTCTTTCAAAGTTATGTCACTGTTATTGCATGTTGATTCTTGCAATGCGCGGCACATACTTTGCAATGTTTTTCTACATAAAGTTATTCACCGTGGAACTGCCTAGTGCGCCGTGGTGTTAGGGTGGGCGTGTTTAGCGATGCGCTGTTCCAATATTTGAGTTATCAAGTGGGACAGGTATCTGCAGCGCGGCGCACGCTCCCATTTGTTTGCGGTGTGTGATAGCCATAACTGCACTGGTCGCTCCCTGGTTAGGCAGTGCAGGACAACAGTTTCAGCGTAATTCACCATAACTGGCTTGGAGGCTGCGCATCAAATCCAAGGGTGGGTAGTGGGTACTAGTTCACTTCCGAGTGAACGATGAACAACAAGTCGTAAATCTCATTGTCCCTCTCGTTTACTTAGGGATAGCATCATAAATGGGGCGATGACTCACACACTATTTCCGTCTCTCACTGAAGACCATCGTCTGAGTCACTAAAGTTTGAATGGGCGGTGATATTCACATAATTCACTACCCCGCAATAATCAGCGGGCTGCCCAGCCCGTCTCGCCCCGCTGTCGTGTACCGTGAGAGCCCCATGGTATTGTCTATTGTCCATTGTCTGCCGCCCCGGTCCCGCCCTGTCCTCCTCTCCCCTCCCCTCCCCTCCCCTCCCGTCCCCTCACTGGTCACTGGTCCAAGGCCAGACCGGTCTGTCTGTCGGCCAGTTTGTTTGTTATTTCTCGGTGTGTCCGATGGGCACATACGCCATGAACCGATGTTCTGCAATGGGCCGGATGATAGGCGTCCGTATAGGTGTTTATAAGCTCACTTGTGTTCATATCGCTCAGGGTTGTCATGCACACTGCAGGGTAGAATATTTAATACAACAATTATTTCGAATAGGATCTTCCATTATTGTATTATTTCCGGGTGCTGATGCCAGAATACTGGGAGTCCCACCGACGGCAGAGCATTATAGCATTAGTGCTCCATGAGAGCTTCATAGCGACACATATTGGGCAGCCGCCTAGTGAGGGGTACCACCTGACAACAGCCGTCCACTAACACAACCGGGAAGTGAAACAAAGACACTCTTGGGTAGTCGCAAAAAAGGCTGTGTATCCGAGTGGAAGCGGTCAACCTGCCCTCACTGGGTCTTGGATCGTCCACGAGCTGAGCCGGCTTGCTCGGACCGTCAATTCTTTTAGTTCATGCGCATCTCTTGTGTTATACGAGCCACCCACGTGTCACTTGGCCTATGTCCATGGCTTTGATACACAGCAGCAGTGCCAAGACCCGCCCCACCCCAGCTGTTGCTGTCCTGCTCACTGCTCACACACCTGCCCTCCCTCCCGCCTCGTTGCAGCGCTCGCCGACCGGTGGCGCCCCTGGCGGCGGCCCGCTGAACTCTGCCGGCCTGCAGGAGCGGCTGGCTGAGAACCGCCGTCAGCTGGCGGCTCTCGGCTCCCAGCCGGACCCCGAGCTGGCCCAGTACCTGGAGGACGAGCGGGTGGCGCTCATGCTGCAGAATGACGAGTTCATGGACGAGCTGCGCAGGAACCGAGAGTTCATGGACGCGCTCGATGTTGGTCAGTGGTCGGGACGGCGTCAGGCTGGGGTGTGCTTTGTTAGTGGTCGGGGCTGGCTGGAATGGGGAGGGTGTGTGTGGTTCGGTCGTTGGAACGAGTCTGGTTGTGATTGAGTGTTTGGTTTGCCGTTGGTGTGCCCCAGTGTAAACATGAGAATGCTTTAATTGCTTGAAGTATATTTTGCAACATTTATGCTCACTTCCCCACGAGGCCACGAGTCAGCTACTTTCGATAGTTCAATAGATTGCTCATGTGTCATCCCCTTCACGTTGCTCGTCTTATTTTGTTGTGTTTTAGATTGTGTCTCGTGTTGTTGAAGGCGATAATAGAAGACGCATGTTACATGGGCTGTTCCCCTTGTAGTTGCCAGAGTTCACAATGTTGATGTTGGCGCCCCAAAGACACACCTGCTATGCATGCTCTCGGACCGACTGGTCAGAGGCTCGTGTGGGGTGCCCTTGGGTGGATCCCTGGCCGCAGATACGATATTGACTGCCTGCATGGTGTGCGGACGTGTCCCGGTCCCGGAGCCTCTTTTTGTTACGTTTGTTTGAAGTTTGTTTGGTTTTTCCCGCAGACACCGCCCATTTAGACGGTCCCCAGTGGCGTGACTACGGTAAGATATAGGATAAATGTGCTTAGATTCACCTGAATATTTTGTTTTGTTTCGCAACTCATCACCATCACCCGCGTTAGATGACATATTTCAGAGCATTGTCTCGTCACACTATGCACCTCGAAGAAATCACTATTGTAGGCACAGTTGACGCAACTTGACCATTTGTGATTTTTTTTTATAAGTTAGTGTTTGAGGGTGATCCTATAATAGTGTACACCGCAGCATTTCTATTTGTCCCCAGCTGTCTGACCGTGTTATGTCCCCCGCTCTGTTAGAATCGCTGGACGAGCCGGGTCGGCCGGCCGCAGGCGGGGACGGGCCGCCCTTCACCAAGTACCCAGACGACGAGGCCTTCAGGGAGCGGCTCAAACACATGGGAAAAGGTCGGTCTGTCTGCGGGGCCACTCAGAGCACCAATCGGAGACGGAAGCGGCACTCTCATTCGTTGCTGCGGGAAACAGAAATGCCTAACTGCCAACGGCTACTCGAGACACAAGGCAGATAAGTAGTCTAACCAGCAGTCTGACTAGATAATGCGTATATTGATACGATAGACCCGGTGACACCCATTCTCGCCATCCCTCCTGTAACACTGACCGACCCCTGCCACTCCTGCAGCCTCTCGGAAGAAGTTCTCGCAGCTGGCGCGGCTGTTTCACTTTAACCGGAGGGGCGGCGCCCGTCACCTGTTGGCACCCGGCGCCGCTCCCAGTGGCGACCAGCTTCTGCTCGTGGAGGACCCACTCACTGAGGAGGACCTCAACTCCGAGCCCAGCTCGTCACCGGCGCCGCCGTTCGTAAGTGACAACCTTTCGCCATGAGCAGATATTGGATTGGTGCCGCTGTGGCCGCAGTGAACGTTATTTGTAGTCTTAAGTTTCGTCCCGGTCCATCAGCCCTTCTTTGGCTACCCACCATCTGAATGACTCACCATCAAAATGGTGAGTCAGTGGCTCTGACCATGCTCTCAGATAATAAATTAATCATCCTGAACGACCTGAACTGATTGATCCCCGGCGCCCCCAGGTGGACCGTCACTCGGTGCAGACCAGCTCACCGGGCGGGCGCAATCGGACCGGAGGAGACCAGATGGTCTGAGGGGTCCCGAGACCAGCTGGTCTGAGCCGTCCTCGGACCCGGAGACCGGCTGGCCTGAGCCGTCCTCGGACCCGGAGACCCGCTGGTGGTCTGAGCGGCTCCCAGACCCCGGGTCCAGTCAGACCGCAGTCCCAGACCAGCGAGTCTGAGTGGCCCCAGCGTCGGATCAGCGGTAACCAGCTGGTCGAGTGGTCTCCAATACCTACTGGCCTCTGGGACCATCTGGCCCCATAGACCAGTGGGTCGAAGTGGTCCCGCAGGCCAGCCGGACCGACTCGTCCCGGGACCGGAGCCACCGAGACGTGTCAAGTCTGCTAGCGACGCGAGCGGGGTCGGCGGCGGCGGGCGGGTCAGCCACGAGGCAACACCCGCGGGTAACGGGCGCAGCTTCCGTGTGGCACGTGTGTTATCAATGGCCAACCGAGAGGCTCTGAATTATTACTGAAGGGGCGTGCGGGTCAGTGCATGTTTTGAGAGCGACTTGTAGTTGTTTGGAGGCAGTATTGTTTGTGAAAATGATATGAAGGCGCTGTGAATTCTGCTGCCTACCGTTTTGTTGATGATTTTTGCGTCGGTTTACATGTCTTCGGTTAATTGAAGGCAAATGAGCCATATTTGGGTTAATGATATGCCTATTTGATAGTGCATGCGTAGTAATATTGTTTTATTCTTGGAGTGGTTTATTTAGTGATTTCTTGAGTTGTGAGTTTTGTGGATGCAGTTTCGGGTATACTGAAAATTTTGGCAGCTACCTGCAAATCGCAACGTGTCTGTGCAATACTGATCAAGCAGTTGCTTCCAGTTGTTGAACGTGTGAATAAGTGTTCAGGTGTATGGTTGTGCGCAAGCAGAACGTCCTTTGGGAGGATGCCTTTGTGGTCAGTATGGTGTCGTGTGGTGGACGGGGCGCGGTCAGTCTGGGAGGGACCGCCGGTATATACAGCGGTGTGTGCGTGTATTGCCTCTGTATACCTGTATACCGCCTGTATCACCGCCCTGTTAATCGGGCCGTGAGGGATGTGAGGGCCGCTCACTGAGCTGCACCGCGGCCACGCAGTGGGTTCACTTACACCCGTGTGGTGCCCAGCGCGGCGGCTGGTCTTGTGCGTCGACCGGCCCATTTGCCACACCCCATTTATTGGTGTGCGCTGCGCTGAGGCCGCCACCCCTCCATTTATCGCCGTAGTGAGTGTATATCGGCCGGCGCACGGCCGTTCCCAGTGCCTGCGACGGTCTGTGTGCCGGGCGGTCCCACTGTCGTACCGTCCCAGCAGGGCCGCCCGCCGGCCGTCCCACGTGTACCGCCCTCGTATAACGCCCACGCGCACCGCCACGGACGTATATATCAAACGCAAAACGCAATATATTCCCATGTATACTGTATGCTGTGAATGGTTGAACTCGAACAATACACATCAATGCGTATTCAGATGATTCTGTTTGAACTTCCAAGGGATGACGCAGCCGTCAGTTACACAGGGAACAATTTGTTGAACAAATGTTGCATGAAATGTGGTTGAGAAACACGCAGCTTTACCGCTTCATCGGCAAGCGATTCTCCTAGCCGGTAGTCCAGACACTATAACACCATCCATCGCTGGTCAAACAGGACTGCCAACTCCAATTAGCCAGTACGGGCGCCACGTCACGCCGGATCGCGGCGGTCGGTCGGCTCTGCACTCCACCGCACTCACTCCGCACCGCTCCTGAAGCCATACAATCCCCTGCCGGCTCACCAGTTCTCCCCTCCCCTCCGCCCTCCCTCCCCGTACCGCCGCCAAACCCTCCTCACTCTATGTCGTGGTCGTTTACGAACAGCGCAGCGGTTACCGACGGTCCACCATTACCGTCAAACACCGGGAGCGGTCGGGCAGCATTACCCCCCCCCCCCGTCCCAGCTCGAAAGCCTCTTGAGCTGCCACAGCGTCTCAGCCGGTCCCGTGCGTGAACATGTGCAGCGCTGGGTCGTAGCGCAGTGGCGGCACTCGGTCCCGGCCGCTGAAACACGCGACAAACACCCGTCAGTCCGGGATATTGGGTATACTTGCGGGCAGGTAACGATCAGCGGGGATGGAGCGAGCCTACGGGGAGACAGACAGCACCTTGTGGGACACAGAGGTTAACTACGGGCAACCACCAGGCGGATATTGTAGGAGACAGAACAGAATCCGTCGTCGAACGACCACCAATGTCAGAGCAGCAATGCTACCTAATCCCGATTTTCGGAACGGGATGGCAGCAGAGCCTAAGCCGCTCTAAATACATCCGCTGAGGCCAGCGCACAGTGCATTAGCCGTTGTCCGAACGACAAATAAAAACTAACCATTCCGGGAAGCTGTCCGGCCTGCCTCCGGCTCTGACATTGCGGCAAATAACGAGCCATCCTGAGCGGACAAGCCGCGGTGGGCAGGTAACTGGCAAGGGTAACTGGAGGGAGCGGCTCAGTTTCCACCAATATGGAGCGACGGTGTATTAATACCCACAAGCTCTAAAGAAAACCAAATAAAAATTGAACATGCTTGTGTCAGACAGATGCTCCTGGGTAAGTGGAGGAGCGTGGGGTTGCGATGGCGTGGGCAGCGGACGACACAAGGAGGCGAGCGGGACTGCCTCATCAACAGAAGATACACACGAACGGACAGGTGCGGGCGTGGAGTGTATGTAACTGGCGCCGTGCTCATAATTACGGAGCGAGCGAAGCGAGCGTAGTCTTTCCTTAGATTAACGGAAATTTCTGAGTATGAGCGGCCGGCCGGCCGGCCGGCCGGCCGTGGTCACGCTTTTGCGAGGCTTATATCTCAGCAACCACTTGACCGATTTACATGCGGTAATTTTTGTAGGGTAGCTCCATTCCTTCTACCAAGTATTGCACTATTCCCGATGCATGTGTGTGACCCCTTATGCACGTGCCACGTGCAAAACGAAGAGGTGTCACTTTTGTAATTGTTGCAATATCTCGGTAACTACTGGGCCGATTGCGCTGAGAGTTGGCATGTAGGTAGGCACCCACTAGGCAATGCATATCCATGTGCCAGAGTTGGGGTGCTGCTGCACGTGCGCACGTGCAGGGGTCGTTTCCAGATCTCGAGAACGGCTGGACCGATTGCGCTCAAATTTGGTACACGGTTACGGAGCAGTTAGTAGGGTGCCGTGCACAAGTCAGTTGGGACCCATTTTGCACGTGCGCACGTGCAGGGTGCCGCTTCCAGATCTCGAGAACGGCTGGGCCGATTGTGCTCAAATTTGGCACATCGCTAGAGACCGGTTAGTAAGGTGCCGTGCACAAGTCAGTTGGAGGTACCCCCTCGCAATTTCGCACGTGCAAGGCCCACCCTCTCGCTCGCTCCGTTAGTCGCCACAAAAGGCGTTATACTGGTAATAACAGAACAACGCAGTATATGGAACACGGAACATGTACATGGAACGTCGATTGGGTCAGACTCAGACTGAGATGGAACACAAAGCAGATGGTACGCGGACAGCTATATAATCGGCTCAACATTACCTTGTATCGCGTCTGTGCCCCATAATGAACATTGGAAAGCATTATCTAATTGTGGTCTACAGTTTCTCAGCGAAAGGCAAAGAAATATGGACAGACGACCGTCCACCCGTGCCCCAACTGTCCCCAGTGCTGCAGCTGTCCCGCTGCTGTCTCCCGCCCCCCCCCCCTCCCCGCTCACCGGTGGGGACGCAGCGTCAGTCGGTGGTGGGTCGGCTCCCCGCCCCCGTCGGCCGTTCTCTGGAGCACGTCCAGCGCCGTGGCCGCCGTAGCCAGCACGGCCGGCAGCACGGCAGCCCTCGAGCCGCCGACCAGACGGCTCGGTACAGAGACGTTCAGCTCACACTCCAGCGCCTGAGGTGAGAGAACGGCGGATATGAGGCTGGCGCGGTGAGCGTGGGGCTGGGCAGGGAGAAAGACAGAAAGCATTGAGGTGCGGCTGCGTGGACCTATTCGTTACTCTTCCTACTTGCCATTTTAGGCCAGCTAGACATTTCGGAGAACATCTGACAAAAGAAAAAAGCTCATTACGTATGATGCAATGTCAGCTATAATGAGGGGTAATGAGTAATCAGACAGCGCCCATGCAAATCCATGTAACCTGAGCTCCACAGTTCATAATCTCAGTCCCCGCAGCCACACACCCTGAGCTCCACAGATTGTTTTAGTCACGTACCCTGAGTGCCGACGAGCTGGCGGTAAGTGGGCTGCTGGCGCCCCGTTTGGTGGCCAGTTTCAGGCCGACGAGCGGCGGCACCCGCGGGTGCTGGGGACTCAGCGCCACGTAACAGCTCAGCTGCAGACCTGCCGACAGAGGACGGACTCAGCGTCGGGTACAGAGGGAGGACTCAGCGCCGGGTACAGAGGGAGGACTCAGCGCCGGGTACAGAGGGAGGACTCAGCACCGGGTACAGAGGGAGGACTCAGCGCCGGGTACAGAGGGCGGGCTCAGCGCCACGTAACAGCTCAGCTGTAGACCTGGCCGACAGAGGGAGGACTCAGCGCCGGGTACAGTTCAATGTGGGGGCGTTCAGCATTCAGCGGTATAAGTACGGGAAAGGCAAAAACTGCAGCAGGGGATAAGGCAGTCGTATGAGGCCACCACAGCATCTGTATCAAGCAATCATTCAGCTGTCTAAGGCCAAATATATCTAAGGCATCAAACCACACTTACTGCACGGGGCAATAAGTGCACAAAATGTTGCTAAGTGACTGACACGACTATAACTGCATCCCCTCCGTTTCCCTCCGTTCCCTGGATCCCATCCTTAGGACAGACAAATCCTTCTCCTCCACGTCTTTTTCCCCTGCTCCGGGCTGGACGGGCAACTTTATCCCATGCGGGATTGCCCGTAAGAGCACGCCCGTAGCCGGGTGCGGTGAGTGCTTGGGGGGCTGGTCGGCCTGTCCTCTGGACGAGCTCAGCCCAGGCGACTCACCAGGGTGCTCGCCCAGACCATTGTCTCCAGACCATTGTGCACGACACATGAGGTGAATTTTGTCGGCTGAAGTAGCCTAAAAATAAGCCACATATTCGCACCAACAATTTTCTGGGTTTCTGGGCAATGACCGTTGCCACACAAAAAAAAAAAAACAGCGGATGGTGACACTTTTCTCGAGCTGTCGTGAAATTCTAGGTCAGCGACTACATCATTTCCCAAAAGCACACGGTTTTGTAGTTTAATGAACAAGAATCGATGAGATGACGCAAGAATCACTCTAAGCTAATGACACATATTAGCCAAGTTGATGTTACATTTATAGCCCTGGGTCCAGTTACCATGCAACCTGAGACTGTAAGTGCAAGAGCGCTGGTAGCCTGAGTCGCACTGAATAGATCTGATGCCTATGTATCTAATTCTGGACATGTATTTAGATGTCTGTGTGCCTGATGTGACTACATAACCACCGCAGTGCAGGCACGTGTCTGACATGCCGTGTGGCGTGCTCACATTACACGGTGCCGACCGCCGCGGGCAGCGCGATTACCGGGAGACATCCCCGCATACCGCCCATTAGCCGCGTCATTACACGGTAGCACAATCTGTCAGTGTTTATAACGCACATAAAAAAAGACCTCGTCGCGTGGGCAACTGAGATACAGCAGAAAGGTCGAGGGTATATCGGGCGAATAAAGCAATGTTAAGGCATCACTGCTCGAGAATACAGTGCTCATGATCAAATGTCCATACACCACCCGGCCATCAGCGTCAGGCGAACACAGAAATAGATGCTCACTGGCGGTTATTTTATGCGTCACAAGTATTCAAGCTGTTGCCAAGTACTCCCCCTGGCCCCTTATATACGTACTGTTACATACCTATTTCATTTATTCGCTATTTTTACCACGTCACAGATGATGGCTGCAGTCGCGAGAGCGGAGCTCATTGAACTCATCGGCTAAGTTTGAGCAAGACGCCTTCACAGGCCAGCCTAGAGCGTGACACCAGATGTACACTAAAAAGCGAGCACCCTACCAGCAAGATGCTCTAACCTCTCTGTTGTCTGCGTCACATGGGCGCTTTATCAGTTATCACGGCTCTACGGGTGCTCCCTTTGTCCGCTGTAGCCTATGCATACTCCACTGATAGTGCTTCTGCTCCATCCCAGTACCTATGCATGCACAACGCATTCACCCTTATCTCCTGTCATACCAGCACCGCTTTGAGTCCTGCCCACTACCCAGCGCCGCCGTCCCTACCTGCCGGGTGCTCCAGTTTCGCCAGGAAGCAGGCGCAGCAATCGTCCAGCTCGGCGGCGCAGAGCACACCCGAGGCGCGGTACGTCTCGGGGCTGATGGAGTGCCACGAGACGAGGCGCGACTCACGGGCGGCCGGCAGCTGTGCCGACACCGGATCAGGCAGCGGCAGCTTACCCGCGCCTGGCGAGACGCAGAGGCGAGAGGCACAGTCAGACTAGAGAGGGGGTGG